TCAAGGACAGTCTGGTCTATATATCAAGTCCCAGGCCAACCAGGACTACACAGTAAGACCTCTCAAAAAAAAGGGGGGGGGGGGGGAAGAAGGAAGGAGGAAAGAGGGAAAGAGGGATGGAAGATGGGAAAGACAAAGGGAAGGAGGGAAAAGAAAAGAAATCCATTGTATACATCTATGAAATTGTCAAACAATAAATTAAATTAAAAAATAAAAAATCTAAGTTCCTTCTAACCCTCTACTGTTCCCTAGAAAAGTCTGGCTCTTAGAGTCCTGGAGACTAATGTGGGAAGAGACCCAGTCAAGCTGCATTAGGGCTGGGGATATGACTTGGAGGTAGAGCACTTGCCTAGCATGTGTGGCCCCGGGCTCCCTGCCCAGCAGCGAGAGAGAAGTGGCAGCGGTAGTCACCCTGATCTTCCAGGAAAAGCAAGGAAAGTATTTGGAGTCACATGGAAAGAAGTCTTCCAGCATCCATTGTTGAGAGCCTGAGAGCCAAAGCAAACATCTCCAAAGCTCCTAATTCACTTCTGCCCTTCTGTCTACTTGCTACATCAATACAAGTGATGGACAGCCGTCACAAGCTGAATGACAAGTGGGCCAACCCAGCCTATGTTCCCAAAGGGGCAGGGTTCCCCAGAAGTGATGTGAAATGAACATTCCTCCATAGTGGGTACTCCTAACAGTGAACAAGGCCCATGAAATGCTCAGGCTGGGGTAAGCCAGGTGATTCCTAACTAGATCCTGAGTGCCCACTTACTCTCAGGCAGGCAGTCCAGGGAATCCCAGAGCTTACTACAGGCCAGCTAAACCACTCCTGGTGAGCGGTTTGTCCTCACTGTCAACTTGACTGGATTCAGAACACCACGGAAGCACCTCTGGGTGTGCCTGTGGAGGTGTTTCCAAGGAAAGTAACTGAGGAGGGAAGGTCCACTCTGACTGTGCACAATCCCACGGGCTGGAGCCCCAGACCAAACAAAAAGCAGAGAGCTGTGCACCAGCGTCCACCGTCCCAGGTGTCCTGACTGAGAAGGGTACTGTGACCGGACAGCAGGTAGGTGGCAGAGTGTCCACATCTGAGCAGAACTCTGAGGCAGAGTCCATGGTCACAGGTGGAGAAGGTGACTCGTCCACTTTTTCAGATCTCCTGCTGTTCTGAGGCCTCATATAATTTCATTAGCTGTAGATCTTGGCAGCTGCCAGGAGGGAGTGATGGAGACCGAGAGAGAGGGGATAGTCAAGTCTTCTGAGGGACGGCTGAGGAAGCTGGCATGTCTGGCACTGGGGACAGCTGAGGAAGGAGCTCCAGAGAAAGACAGTGAATGCCCAGTGTCAGCATGCATGCTGAGGATCTGGCTAGTTATCCACAGAGCTACAAAGGGAGAAGAGAAGAGGCTACTTTGTGAATTAAAGCTCCTAAAAGCAGGCAGGCCAAGTGGAGGCCGGCAAGCAGCTGCAAGACTGCTTGCTGTCTCAGCATGGCAGCCAACATTCCCTCTGGAGTGAAGCTTCTCACAAGAATGGACAGTGGAGGCGGCTCCTGCAGCAAGGCATGCTCGCAAGGACACCAGAACCTAGACACCAGAAGAAACGCCCTGGGGAAAGGCTTTTGAAACCCCAGCCTCAAAACCAACCTGACCACTCAATGGGCACTACAGAGGGATGCTCAACAGTAACCCTTCAGGATTTGCTGTGTGACCTATGCGCATCCTCCCAGGGACTTCAGATCCGCTCTGAACTGTTTATAATACCCACTAAGTGTAAATGCTAGACATATAGCTACCGTATATGCCTAGGAACGATGCCCCCCCCCCAGGAAAGTGTGTACATGTTCAGTATAGATGCATTGTTGGGGAGGGTGCTGGGAAGAGAACTCAAGCCTTACACAACTAAGCACATGTCCTACCACTGGCTTGTAGGCCTGCCTTTCTAGTACTTTTGCTGCAGTTGAACTTATAGATGTAGAACTGACAGATACAGAAAAGCTCAAGAGACTAGTCCAATTCCAATCCTAAATGCCAACAATGTCTAACTGTCATGTTTAGATCTAAAGTACACACATGTGTTGAAAGCCTAATCCCCAACAGCATTGTTGAGAGCCAGGAATTCTGGGAGATGGATCAGGAGGGCTGTGACCTCTCAAAGGATTGTTCCACTGGTAGATCTGTAATTTGGTAACACTATTGGGAGGTCACAGAAACTTAGACAGCAGGGCCTAGCTGAAGAATGTGGGTCACTGGCCCACTCTTTGAAGGATGTCCCATGCCCCTTGTCCCTTCTCAGGAGCCTTTCTGCTTCCCAGATGCAGGGTGAGCAGCTTGCACCACCATGCACCAGACACAGTGGCTGGGGACTATTCCTCTGAAGCCATGAGTCACAGTGTTTCCTCTTTCTAAGATACTTCTCTTGGAAAGCCTGTCACAGGAACCAAAACACTGACAAACACACTAACTGGGCACCGCCATTTGCCTCTGGGAGTCTATTTTATCATCACACACTGCATACATGCTGCACACACACTTGCACACATTGCACGAACACACACACACTGCATGCACACTGCACACATATGCACACACACACATATACCACATAGACACATACTGTACACACACTCACGGGCACACACACTGTGCACACTCGTGTACTGCACACACATGCAATGTGCACACCGCATGCGTATGCACACACACACACACAAACACACACTGCACAAAGTCATACTGCATCCCAGTCCAGGACCAGGAACAGCTGGTCTGCATTCACAATACTCACCAGTTTCTAGCTGTTCTCTTGATTCTATTTGTTTTTCCAGACAGGGTTTCAGCGTGGCCTTTGAACCTGCTATCTAGCCAAAATAACCTTAATTGATAATCCTCCTGCCTCCACTTCCCACATGCTGGGATCACAGGCAGGGACCACCACACTCAGCTTTCCTGTTATTCTTTTGAAGGTGAAGTTTTCTGAAAATGCAAATTCTCAGTTGGGTGTGGTGTGCACGCCTGTGATCTCAGTTGGGTGTGTGTGCACACCTGTGATCTCAGTTGGATGTGTGTGTGTGTGTGTGTGCACACCTGTGATCTCAGTTGGGTGTGTGTGCATACCTGTGATCTCAGTTAGGTGTGGGCACGCCTGTGATCTCAGTTGGGTGTGTGTGCACACCTGTGATCTCAGGTGGGTGTGTGTGCACACCTGTGATCCCAGCACTGGGAGACTGAGGCAAGAGGAGGCAAGATCCGGCCAGCAGGAGCTCTTCAAGCAAACACTCTCCCCTGCTCACATCACTTCCACACTGTAGACCTAGGTTGGGATCTGAAATCACCATCATGAATTTAGAAACTTTCCAGGAACTTCTGATGTAGATAGACCCTAAACCCCAAACGAGAACTCCTGTTCTGACAGAGAGCAGACCCCTTATCAGACCTTAGTCTGTAACACTGATATTACATTGTATTTATGTGTGTGTATGTATGTTTCTGTGTGTCTATAGGTACACACATGCCATGGCAGATGTGTGACAGTCAGAACAACTTTCAGGAGTTGATTCTCTCCTTCTACATTTGGTTCCTGAGGATGGGTCATCAGGTATTGTGGCAGAGCATCCCATGGGCCCTACATACATGATTTTTAAATTGCTACATATGTATGCATTTCCTGCTTAATGGAAATTCTATATCAATATAATTTTTGCTCCTTTGCTATGTTTTTGGTACTGCACACAGGGTCTCATATATGCAAGGTTAGTGCTCTAACGGCAAACTATATTATCCAGGGTCTCATATATGCAAGGTTAGTACTCTAACGGCAAACTATATTATCCAGGGTCTCATATATGCAAGGTTAGTGCTCTAACGGCAAACTATATTATCCAGGTGTCTTTACATCCTTTTCTTTTCCTCTCTCTTTCTCTCTTTGTGACAGGAGCTAAGCTGCCTAAGCTGGCCTTGAACTCAGAGCTCCACCTGCCTCTGCCTCCTGAGTGCTGGGTTTAAAGGCGAGTGCCACCACCACCCAGTGATCACCTATTTTCTTTTTCTTTTCTTTTTTTTTTTTTTTTTTTTTTTTGGTTTTTCGAGACAGGGTTTCTCTGTGTAGCTTTGCGCCTTTCCTGGAACTCACTCTGTAGCCCAGGCTGGCCTCGAACTCACAGAGATCCGCCTGGCTCTGCCTCCCGAGTGCTGGGATTAAAGGCGTGCGCCACCACCGCCCGGCTATCACCTATTTTCTAACACTGAAATATTTAGGTTTCTGAGTTTTCACAATTGTAAATCATTATGAAAATGACTTTATATATAGAAAGGGAGTTCAAATAGAGCAGATTTCTGGAAGGAGAAGATAGGAAATGAGAAGCATGTTGATAGGCAGTGGCTACACACCCACTGTGGACCAACGTCACTGCCCCTCCTGGCCACAGAGGCAGACATAGCAGCTGCCATTTCTTGGCACCTTTTCCTGAATGGTAAAGTGGTTTTGAAAATCACCTATTAGATGAGCATGGTGGCACATGTCTGTAGACCCACTACTGGGAGAGCTAAGGCAGGAAGAGGTCAAGCTCATGAACAGTATGGCAGGCAGGGGGATGGGAAGGTGTGAGATGGTTCAGCAGGTAAAAGCATTTGCCACCAAAGCCTGTCCACCTGGTTTGATCCCAGATTCCAAGACAGAAGGAGAGAACCAATGCCCAACAGTTGCCGACCTCCATACATGCATCGTGGCATGTGAGCACTTGCACTCACACATACTGTAATAGATAAACAAAAAAAATTTGTTTGAGCCAGGCGATTGTGCAACACGCCTTTAATCCCAATCCTCGGGAGGCAGGTGCAGGCGGATCTCTGTGAGTTCGGGGCCAGCCTGGTCCACAGAGCGAGTTTTCTGAAAGAACAGCATGGGTTACACAGTGAAAGCCATGTCTCAAAAGGACAGCTGAAAAAAAATGTTTAAGAAACAGGAGGAGGAGGAGGAGGAGGAGGAAGAGGAGGAAGGAGTGACACACTCACCTGCTGTCAGAGTCTGAAGCGATCTCCTTTCTCCCTCCAAAGCGAATCTGGCACTGCACAGAGAAAGAGACTGCTTAGGTCAGCTGCTAGGCTGGGACAGCAAACAACACAGAACAGCCCACAAGGCCTTCAGAGACGGTGGGGACAGAGGCCCTGCTGCTTCACAGAGGTAAGAAGCCAGCACTCTGGCCTCAGACTCCTCTCACAGGAAGCTAGTCTTCCTCTTGACTCCAGGAAGCCGCAGGCCCTGCAGTAGCCCAGGGAGCAGCAGCTGGAATCAGAGAGCTCTCTGGTGGTGCTGAGAACCTCCATGTCTATGCTGATGACTCTTCTTGACAGAGCCCCAGAGTCGTCAGGCTGTGTCAAATGACAGCCACCTTGGCTGTGCTGAGCAGTTCTGCCAGGCTGAGTGGATGGGAAAGTCACCTTTTTAAAAACAGACCTATAATGCCTACCCTAACCGTTTTTTAGCTGTAAAGTCCGGTCACACGGTAACCCCACTGTCACCACTATCCACCCACCTCTTGTTGTTGGTTTGATCTGCTTGTTTTGAGACAGTCTCGCTCTGGAGCCCTGACCAAATTCACAGCCATCCTCCTGCCTACACCTTCCAGGTGCTGGGGTTACATACATGTACATGCTCCCAGCTCACTATTCCCGGGTAAAGACAAAGAATTTCTGCTACGGATAGCAAACTTGCATGCTATGGAAACTTAGGATTAAAAATTACATATCATCACCAGGCAGTGGTGGTACATGCCTTTAATCCCAGCACTCAAGAGGCAGAGGCAGGCGGATCTCTGTGAGTTCAAGGCCAGTCTGGTCTACAAAGTGAGTTCCAGGACAGGCACCAAAGCTACACAGAGAAACCCTGTCCTCAAAAAAACAAAAATAAAAACAAAAACAAAACAAACATATACACACACACACACACACACAATCAAAAAAGATTCGGTATTTGTGACATAGCACATACATAAAATTTACCAAGTAGTATATTTTAATTGTAGGTAAATGATAGGTGAATAAATTTGGTTGTTATTTTTTAAGATAAATGTCACAGTTCAACTCCTCAAAATAACTCAGAACCTTTGACCAGAAACCCTAATCTGCTCCTCTTTAAGTGCTCCTGTAAAAGCAGTGAGCTCACTCCCTTGTCTTGCTGTCTTCGTGTTCTGGATCAACTGTAGACCAAGTGTGATTCACCCAGCATCCTTGTGCAGAGGGAAAGCCAGACTCCAGGGAAGAAGAGATGACCTCAGGTCTATAAACATCATGACCAAAAGCAACTCGGGCAAGAAAGGGTTTATCTCATCTGACATGCCTACATCACAGTCCGTCAAAAGGGGGTCAGCGCAGGAAACTGAGGTGGAATGAAGCAGAAGCCATGGAAAACACTGTTCACTGGCTTACTCCACATGGCTTGCTCCCTTTCCTACAGCACCCAGGACCTCCTGCCCAGGGCAGGTATCTATCTGCCCCTGTGAGCTGGGCCCTCCTACATCAATCATTAAACAAGGAAACACACTACAGACTTGTCCACATTCCGTCTGGTGGACATTTTCTCAACTGAGGGTCTTCTTCCCAGACAACTCTAGCTTGTGTCACGTTAACAAAAATCTAACCAGCACAGGGACACTCAAAAAGGGCAGACAAGTCTGGCAGCTGGAAAGACGTGGAATTCTCTCAACCTATTCACCACACCAGGCTCCCTCATGTTCTGAGCAGACACTGGATTCTCTGGGCCCACTTCAACATTTAACCCACAACCTGCTAGAGTATTTCCCTCCTTATAATCACATGCAAATAACAGTCAATAATCCCTTCCAAAAAGGAGCTCTTCAAATTCTCAGGTTTGGACCCTCTCTCTCACTTACTAACTGATGACTGAAGTGAGTTAGTTACTGATCTTCACTGAGCTTCACTTCAGTGTCTTGGTCTATAAAGTGAAAACAATCACAGGAACTCCTCCATCGTTAGCTACAAGAATTCCCCTACAGCACTCACAGAATGCCGGGTACAAGGTGGACATGTGATGACAGCTAGCATTACAGTGTCAGGCAAGCCAACGCCGCAATCAGCACCAGCAGCCACAGCCACGGACCGGGAGTCAGCATGGCTTCAGGCAACAGAGGCTCCTGGATGTTTGCACTTCGGGCTCATAACTGCAAGCCAGCACCTCTGAAGCCCGCCCTAAAACAAATCTGTGGGGAAATCAAAGTCTGAAACGAGGACAGTCTTACTGCCTTCCCTGCTCTGTCACTCCTTAGGGAAACTGTGCTTAGCCATTCTCAGAAACAGCTGGACATGGTGGTACACACCTGTAAGCCCAGCAGTTGGGAGGCGGAGGCAATAGTTCAAGGCCATTGGGGTGACCTGCTGATACACAAATCAAGCAAACACAAAACCATTCCCAGACACAAAATAAACCTGTACACTTAAAAGGAAGAAATGACTTCTATATTACCTTTTGAACATTCACACAAAAGGCTAGTGTGCGCATTCTTACCTGCTTTACTGCATCCAGCAATCTCTCCAGCAGGAATTGCCTTTTGTCATCGTTCTGTGACCCTGAAATGAAATGGAGTTTAATTACTTCTAGCTGACAATTAGACTCTGTTCAAGACTTTCTGACATTTAATGCTGAGCATACTGGCATACACCTTTAATCCCAGCACTCAAGAGGCCGAGGCAGGAGGATCTGTGAGTTTGAGACCAGCCTGGTCTACATAAGCAAATTCTAGGATAGCCAAGGCTGTAGAGGGAGACCCTGTCTCAAAAGGAGAAAAAAAAAAAAGACTTTCTGCCATCTGACATGAAAATACATGGTTGTCCACAAACAAGACCAGCCCTCTATTCACCTTTAACAAAATAAGTAAACAAACTGCACCAACAATCTACACCACTGCAATGAAGGACTACATCACAGGAAAACAGCTAAACTCAGTTTCCCCAAATTGAATGAATCTGTCCTGAATGGTGCCAGTTTCTCTGCTATGATACTACTGATAGTGCAGGAAATTTAGCAATGTCCCTGGCCTCTACTCAGTGGGTGCCATTAGCGTGTGCACATGCATAGACACACACGTGAGTTGGCTTCATACATTGTCAAATGTGTCCTGGAGTGTGGTTGCCCCTACCCTTGACAGCCAGGAGTATAAAGTAGCATGAAAGTTGCCTGGAATGTCAGGCACTGTCCTTGGATGGTCTTACTTCCTGTCTCCTGCCTTCAGCTAGACAGGCTGGAAAACCTAGCTGCTAACTTTCTCAGCCATTGCTGACCTTACAGGGTTGGCCAACGATGTCTGGGGATGTGGCCCAGTTAATAGAATGCTTGCCTAGCATGCGTGGGGCCCTGAGTTCAGCACTTCATGAACCAGAAATGGTGGACACAGCTGTAACCCCAATGATTGGAAGGTGGAAGCAGGATGATCGGGAGTCCAGGTCACCCTCAGCTGCAAAGGGAGTGTAGGGTCAGCACAGATTACCTGAGACCCTGTCTCAAAGATAAACAAACATTAATGTGCTATATCTGGTGCCCAATATGGGGCACGAACCCACAACCCTGAGATTAAGAGTCTCATATTCTACCATATGATAGGATAAAAGGGTAGATTATTAAATTTACTCTGGGGGAAAAAAGATATAAATGATAGGATAAAGGGTAGATTACTGAATCTACTTTGAAAAGAAAAAAGGAGTCAGGAGGTGGTGGCTCACGCCTTTAATCCCAGCACTCAGGAGAGAGAGCCAGGCAGATCTCTGTGAGTTCGAGGCCAGTCTGGTCTCCAAAGTGAGTTCCAGGAAAGGCTCTAAGCTACACAGAGAAACCCTCTCTCAAAAAATCAAAAAAAAAGAAAAAAGGGAGGATACAGACATAATAAAATAAAAAGGTAGATTACTGAATCTTTTAAAAAGCAATTACTAGCGCCGGGCGGTGGTGGCGCACGCCTTTAATCCCAGCACTCAGGAGGCAGAGGCAAGTGGATCTTTGTGAGTTCGAGGCCAGTTTGGTCTACAGAGCGAGATCCAGGAAAGGCGCAAAGCTACACAGAGAAACTCTGTCTCAAAAAACCAAAAAAAAAAAAAAAGCAATTACTAGTTTTAAATATTTTACATTGGATTGGATTTTTGTATATTGTATACAAATTTTGTATATTGATACAAATTTGTGATTAATTTTGTTAGAACATACTCTACATACATTTTTAATCTTGTACAAGGTATTGTACCTATATAACTCATTTAACAATGTAATGCAAATTTCTAGTCCTTGAAAATTATTATTACAAACTAATTAGGATATAAGGAAATGTAAGTTCGTAGTTAGTCATTACAATCAAACTTGTAGTCATGTTAGATATGTTTTCAAGGTCAAACAGATATATTTTAGAAAGACATGTCATCTTCAAATACTTCTGAGATCTACAGAATATGGCATTAAAGATGTTTTAATAACAAAGGTTCTTTTTTTTTTTTTTTTTTTTTTTTTTTTTTTAATGACAGTGAGACATGTCTGATCCTGGCAGCACCAATCTACTTCAGAGCAGATGATGGACATTGAAGAAACTCCTTATGGAGTTTACTTTCTTTGTGGCAAAAGTTAGTCTCAACTGTTGACATTATTGTGTCCAAAATGGACAAGAAGGACACAAAATAAAGGACTGCCAAACTTTGCCAAGACAAGGTAGGACAGCCCTTCAAAAAATCCTGATTCACAGTTAAATCTGTCAGATATGTTGGACCTGTAGGCCAAAGATGGATGCCCCAATGTTGCAGAGAAACCTTGGATGATTGTCCAGGCAGCCATTGTTTCTGTCATGTCTTACAATTTTTGGAAGTCGCTTGCTTGCACTTCCTGCTTACTCAGTAAATATTATTTCCTTCTAGGGTCTCTGATAGAGTTGGAGACTAAATAGTTATAGTTTTCCTTGTTAACAAATTCAGAAAAGAAACTCACTAAAGAGGTGTAAAGTGTACAAATGTAAAGTGGTGATATTGTGTTTCCCCAAAATATTGTGTACCCTAATAAACTTATCTGGGGTCAGAGAACAGAACAGCCATAATATTAAACATAGAGGTTAGGCAGTGGCAGCACATGCCTTTAATCCTAGCATTCCAGAGGCAGAGCTCCGTCTGGATCTCTGTGAGTTCAAGGCCACACTGCAAACAGCCAGGCGTGGTAACAAGAGTCTTTAATCCCAAGAAGTGATAGCAGGAAGCAGAAAGGTATAAAAGGCGTGAAAACCAGGAACTAGTCTGGTTAAGCTTTTAGGCTTTTGAGCAGCAGTTCAGCTGAGATTCATTCTGGATGAGGACTAAGAAGCTTCCAGTCTGAGGAAACAGGATCAGCTGAGGAACTGGCGAGGTGAGGAAGCTGTGGCTTGTTCTGCTTCTCTGATCTTCCAGCATTCACCCCAATATCTGGCTTCAGGTTTGATTTTATTAATAAGAACTTTTAAGATTCATGCAACATACAAGTTTGAGAGACATCAAAAGATAGTTTGAGTTGGTAATACAAGTTAGGATAGAAAGTGAATTAGAAGTTGCAACACTTTGGACTCACCAAAATAGAATAAATAATGGAGTATTTTCTCTGAATTTGTCAAATGTTAATGTATTGGACATGGTTAATGTAATTCTTGAATTTATATATTGTATATAGTTATTGTACTTATTGTCTATAGTTTTTCTTATATTAGTTATAACCTTTTTTATTTTAGACAAAAAAGGGGAAATGTGACATTTTGTGTATGCTCTAACAAATAAAGCTTGCCTGAAGACCAGAGGGCAAAGCCAGCTACTAGTTAGCCATAGAGGCCAGGCAGTGGTGGCACACACCTTTAATCCCAGGACTTGGGATTTCATGCCTTTGCTCCCAATACTTGGGAGTCACACACCTTTAATCCCAGCACTAGGGAGGTGGAGGCAGGAAGAGATATGGCTGAGCAGAGAGAGGAATATAAGGCAAGAGGAGACAGGAGCTCAGTCATTTTTGCTGAGGAGTTGGTGAGGTGAGAGGTGGCTGTGGCTTGTTCCTTTGTCTTCCTGATCTTTCAGCATTTACTCCGATATCTGACTCCGGGTTTTTATTAAGACCAGTTAGGATTTGTGCTACAGTTAACAGCTTGGTCAAGGCAAAGTAAGCAGGGGTGTGCTCGGAGGCTCCAATAAACTGTCCCTTGTGAAATGGTATGAAGAGATCACTCCTTCCTCCATCCTCATGCCTGAGTCATGAGCGCCTGCACAGAGCCAGAGCAGTCCTTTGCCGCATTAAACCACATGACCAAATGAAAAGCTAGGAGAACCACAAAGGAACCTCCTGGTACCTTTGTGTGCCTAGCAGTGAGTTGCTAAGCTGATACCACAAATAATTCTCACCAACTAAAAGACACATTTGCTCAAACCACCACTGGTGCCTGAGCTGTCACTTTACAGTCAAATGAATTCCCAAATGATTCCCACTAGAACAAGATACACAGATAATTTCTACTAAGAAGGTCTGGGGCAAGAGGCCTTCAGCACCAGGCAGACCACTAACAGATAGCATAGACACCCATAAGAGGCCGGGTGGCATCAATCAACAGTTGAGCTGTGGAAAACAATGCCCCAGCCACACAGCAGTGGCTTTGAACAACAGGAACAGAATTGCTCAGTGGCCTCTATCCTGGGCCACACCAGGAAGGAGTGTTGGAGACATGGGAGTGAAATGGTATAGTCATCTTCTCATGGAGCTGAATGGATTAGGAAGAGGACAGCACATGAGCACACAAATAATAAACAGGGCAATAGAGACAAGAACAAAACTACAACAATGAAGCAGAGAGGGAAGACAGAAAATGCCACTACAGCCTGCTGTGGAGGGGGGCTCTCCGAACAGGTGACATGTGAGCTGAGCCCTTTATAAAGAAGAGGAGCAGCCATGGCAGGGCGTATTCCAGGAAAAGCAAACAGCTAGGGGAGAGGCTGAGGCAAGACAAGCTCAGCTTCCGTGTTCCAAGACTAGAGGGGCAGGGGTGGGTAAAAGGACCATCAGACAGGACCAGAAGTCTGCTGGTGTGGGGGCAGGCAGAAGGACCATCAGACAGGACCAGAAGTCTGCTGGTGTGGGGGTAGGCAGAAGGACCATCAGACAGGACTAGAAGCCTGCTGGGACAGGGGCAGGCAGGACCATCAGACAGGACCAGAAGTCTGCTGGTGTGGGGGCAAGCAGAAGGACCATCAGACAGGACCAGAAGTCTGCTGGTGTGGGGGTGGGCAGAAGGACCATCAGACAGGACCAGAAGTCTACTGGGGTGGGGGTGGGCAGAAGGACCATCAGACAGGACTAGAAGCCTGCTGGGACAGGGGCAGGCAGAAGGACCATCAGACAGGACCAGAAGTTTGCTGGGACAGGGGCAGGCAGAAGGACCATCAGACAGGACCAGAAGTTTGCTGGGGGTGGGGGTGGGCAGAAGGACCATCAGACAGGACCAGGAGTCTGCTGGGGTGGGAGTGGGCAGAAGGACCATCAGACAGGCCAGCAGAGCAGCTGGTCACAGAGGGTGCTTCAAATCAGACTACCATGCTAA